GAAAAAATCTACATGCTTTCATTAGATCTTGTCCACTTATGAACTGTTACTATAAAAAGGTTGTTAAGTGCCATCAAGGCAGTTCTGACTCATAGCGACTCTGTATAGAGTTTCCAAGGAGTGACTGGTGAATTTGAACTGCCAGCCTTTCAGCTCAAACTGACCTTATGGCTGAGTGCTTATCCTACAGCGCCACACCAGGACTCCACTATAAAAACGTTGTCGTTAAGTGCCGTTGACTTGGTTCCGAACCATAGCAACCGTGTATAGGGTTTCTGAGGAGCTGCTAGTGAACTGAACCACCAACCTTGCAGTTCAAACCGATTTGTAGTTCAGCACATTAAGCCACAGAGCCACATCAGGACTCCAGTATAAAAATATGTTGTTGTTGTTAAGTACTGTGGAGTTGGTTCTGACTCATAGTGACCCTGCACAGGGTTTCCAAGACGGTACATCTTTACCGAAGCAGAAAGCCTCATTTTTCTCCCGCAGAATAGCTGGTAGTTTCGAACTGCCGACCTTGAGGTTAGCAGCCCAATATGTAACCACTATACACCATTTAAATATATTTGACATGGTTGGACAATTTAAATCAGATAGAAAAGACAATAGAAAAATCCCATTCAAGGCAGACAGAAAGTTAACGCTGGTTATCTCCAGATGTAAGGTTGCAGGTTGTCTCTACTTCTTTTTTTCCTCTTATATATTTTCTAAAATTGACATATATAACTTAATAAAAACATAAAATAACTAAAGAAGAGAGAAAAGAAGAATTCTTAAAAAATAAAAACAAACTTGTGCTTCAAAGAGATAAACATTATATTCCAAAAAGATAAAATTGTCATCAAAATCTCATTTCTTTTTTTATTGAGTATGCAGAAAATAAAAATCCCCCCACATTCTTTCTTGCATATGTTTTACACAGATTACTTTACTCAAATGAGTTATTATTCATATTTATTAGCATATTAGTGCTTCATAGATAATTGTGCTGATCACATGTTACTGGTTAAATATGTTTGAAGTCTTTCATAATTAAAAAATAAATATTTTAAATACAGAAAATACAGATACTCCTGAGTTTACAAGAAAGAAAGGATCTCTAAAAACCTTTTTGTTTTTAATTGTGGCAAAATCTGGATGACAAAATATTTGCTCTTTAAATCATTTCTAGGTGTTCAACTTTATAACATTTACAGCCACTGTATTATGCACTCATCACCACTATCTGTCTCCAAATAGTCTTCATGAACCTCCACAAAAAACTCAGAACCCCTTAAGCAATAACTCTCCATTTCCTCCTCCTCCAGGCTCCTGGAGACTAATAAATATTTGTCTCTTTGCATTTGCCTGTTCTAGATGTTTCATATAAGTGGGACCTTCGATACTGGTCTTTTATGTCTACCTTATTTCATTCAACATAATGTTTTCCATGTCATAGCATGTGCCAGAACTTCATTTCTCTTCATAGCTTAGTATTCCATTGAATTATATACACATTTATTCATTTATTTATACATTCATCTTTTGAAGCATTTGAGTTGTTTCCACTTTGGGGCTATTGTGAATAATACTGCAATGATTATTAGCATCCAGGTATCTTGTTAGGTAACTACTTTCTTTTGGAGATATACATATATATGTATCTAAGAATGAAATTGATGAATCATATGGTAATCTTGGTGTGGTGCTATGGGATGAAGCACTGGACTGTAAAGTTGGTTTGAACCACAAGGTTGGCAGTTTTTAACAACAACATGCTAATCCTAAATTTAACTTTTTGAAGAGCTATACACTGTTTTTCCAGAGTAGCTGCACCATTTTACATGCATACCAGCAATGGATGAGGTGTGAGCTTTTAAATTCAACTTTTACTTAAAAAACAAAATCAATTAAACATAGCTGGACAGAGTTCCTCTGGTATATATATATATGTGTGTGTGTACCAGAGGAACTCTGTATGCATATGTATGTATATGTGTGTGTGTGTATATACATATATACATACATACACACACATATATATGTGTTGTTGTTAAGTGCTGTCCAATTGGTTCTGGCTCAGTGACCCTGTATAGGGTTTCCATTGAGTAGCTGGTGAGTTTGTGGACCAGTGCTTATCCTACAGTGCCACACCAGGACTACTTTATGTATACCTACTGCTATGTGATGTATTCCAGTCACTGGTTCATTGGCAAGATCCTAACCCCCACCAACACCCTTCCCCAGTAGTCCTTTGATATGAAAACTGCAGAATGACTTGAATTCAAATGCATCATCTCACATTTAGGGTTCTCATTCCACTGCCAAGGGAAATGTGGGTTTTGTGAGCTGGAAGCTTATGCTATTTTGGAACAGAGGACTTATAATAAAATCTAACACAATATTAGGTACAAGATAAAATGTTTATTTAGAAGGGTCTGACACAAGTGAAAGGAGCCCTGGTGTTGCAGTGATTAAGTACTGAACTGCTAACCAAAAGGTCAGTGGCTCAAACCCACCAGCCACTCTGCAGGAGAAAGATGTGACACTCTGCTTCCTTAAAGACTGACAACCTTAGAAACCCTTTGGGGAGTTCTACTCTATCCTGGTGTGCTGTTGTAGGAGAAGCACTTTGAACCACAAGGTCGGCAGTTCAAACCCATCAGCTGTTCCTCAGAAACCTTATACAGGTTGCTTAACAACCACAACTCTGTCCTTCAGGGTCACTATGTTTTGGTTTGGTTTGGTTTGGTTTGGTTTGGTTTGGTTTGGTTTCGGTGCAAGTGAGAACCTTGAAGACTTAGCTTCATTAAAGTTTTAATCCACTTCTGACCATACCCTAGTTTCTTCTTCCCTTTTCTCTCCTGCATCTCCCTGTCACTGGTTTCTACAGTCTGTTTTCCTTTCTGTCATGTCTATTTTTGCATGTTCCCATGTTGATCCCGTATCTAGCACAGTTCCCCACCCCTGATTTTAAAAATAAGCCCTCCCTTTGTTTCAGGACTTTAGCTGATCATTCTTATTCAGAGTCATCCATGAGGATGCAAGCGGAAGATGGATTTTTGTAAACATTTTAGTTCACTTTCTATTGAAGCCTAAGCCCTGTATGTTATTGTGGTTGTTAAGTGCTGATGAGTTGGTTCTGACTCATAGGGACCCTATATAGGGTTTCTCAGAAGCGACTGGTGGGTGATAACAAGCAAAAATACACGTATCAGTAGACAGATGAGTCTATGAGTATTTGTTTCCAGGCTCTCCTGACTGGCATGGAAGACATGATCATGTGGCTGGCGCCCCCTGGAGTCATTCACTATCATCTTTTCTTTTTTCCCCCCATTTTCTGCATAAGCTCTATTCATGCAACACAAAGGTGGTAAATGCATATTTCTTTCAAGTAAATAACTCATGTTTGTCATCTTATCATCATTTTAAGTTCTTACATCAGTTTCCGTTTTCCTCACACATGAAACCTGGAAAACGTCATCAGTGACTGCCTTTCCTCTCCAGCTTCTGTTTTTTGTTTGTTTGCTTTAGGCGTTGGTGAAGGTCAATGAGAAACTAAAGCCGATGCTGGATTCCGTGGCTGCGAATAGAAATAAGTGGGAAGAACTGCACCGGAAAAGACTGCTAGTTTCCGCTGCCACCCCCTCTCCTGCCGGCAGCGCGGTGACCACAGAGGACAAAAAGTAAACCTCCTGGCCAGCTGCTGCTGCAGTAGACTGCAGCCTGAAGGGCCAGCTTCACCCCAGCCGCGTCATCCTTTTGTCCCATTCTGCTCAAACCTAAGACCTTGGGGATGTGTTATGAAGCATGCTTAGGTTTTCACCTTGAAGTGTGATCAGGAGGGGAGAGAGTGGCAGAGTGTGTTCCAGGACCTTCAACCTTCCCTGATACTGGGCAAAGACCACGCAGGCGCTGAGAATGCAAGGGCTGGCGACTGTGGATAGTGTTCTCTCCAGGCCGAAAGAACGGCGACAGCGTTTTCAGCACGGTTTCTTTTTTATCTGGCTTAACTGTTTGTTGCGCGCCCCCTCCCTGAGAACCCTTTTGTGTCAGCCTGTCCCAAGAATCCCGATTTGTGATATAGAGTGTGTTCCGACTCATGTTGTTGTTGTTAAGTGCCGTCCAGTCGGTTCCTACCTATAGCGACCTTGTATAGGGTTTCTGAGGAGCTGCTAGAGCGCTTGTACCGCCAATCTTGAAGTTCAAACGGCTTTGCAGTCTGGCGCATTAACCCACAGCGCCACACCAGGACTCCGTTCTGACTAATAGCGACCCTATATAGGGTTTCCCAGGAGCAGCAAGTGGGTTTGAACCGCGGATTTGCAGTTTGCAATCCAGTGCTTATCCTAGAGCGCCACACCAGGACTCTTTGTATTCTAGGTTGTTACGTGTCGTTGAGTCGGTTCTTGTATAAAGTTTCCGAGGAGCAGCTGGTGAGTTTGAACCCCAACCTTGCAGTTCAAACCGACATTATAGTCCAGTGATTATCCTACAGCTCCACACAGACTCATACTTCTCCATAATGGATAAGACCTCTAGAGCTGCCTACTTAAAAGATGGGGGGGCGCAATGACTCCATCTGATGAACACTAGACTGTGAACTACAAGGTCAGTGGTTCAAACCCACCAGGTGCTCCACGGAAACCCTATATGAGGCTTTCTGCTCCCGCAAAAATTTAAAGCCTGGGAAATCCTATATGGGGGTCACTATGAGTCAGAAGCGACTCGACAGCACTTAACAACAACAACAACAACCTAAAAGATAGATTCTATTATCTTTACACATACCAACCAATCCCATCTCCCACCCCCAGCCCCAAGAGGTCCATAGTAGGAAAACAGTGTTTGGCCGGTGTTTATATAGGATGCAGAAGTTCTAACACTGCACTGGGATTATGGTTCCCTTTTTCAGAAGTTTTAATTCAACCTTGACTGTAGACCAAGCTTTCTCCCAGATTAATAGACCTTAATTAAAGTAAGGATGAAGGGAAATCTATAGCTAGATTTATCACAGTGATGACGCAAGAACATTTTAGGAACTTTCTAACAGTAATGTCCTATTTCACAGGATGGAGACTGAGCAGTGACTACTTCTGAGTTTTTCTAGTGATGAGTTTGAGTATGAAATTTAAGGTTACCACTAGTAAGCAATGTAAAGCAAAGGTCCTAGACTTGGGTATTTTCCTTGAGTATAAAAAACAATGCTTAGGACGTCTGGGCAAGAAAACATATTTTCTAAGAAAAGGTGAATCTGTTCATTTGGACTAAGCTGGATTTATAATCACTGAAAATAAATTGTATTAAGTAGATGTGATGACTAGAAAGCAGCTTTGCTCCCCATTTTACCTGAGGTATTAAAGACATGGTATCCAAAGGAGCTCTGGTAGTGTAGTGGTTACGAATCGGGCTGTGAACCTCAAGGTCAGCAGTTCGAAACTACCAGCTGTTCCACCAGAGAAAGATGAGGCTTTCTGCTCCCATAAAGATTTACAGCCTCAGAAACCCTGTACAGGGTCACTATGTGTCGGAACCGACTCCACAGCACATAACAACAACAACAACATGCAAAGAACACTAGGTTAAAAGATAGACTTCTCGCCCATGCTTTGACACTATTAACTGAAGGACTTCACTTCTCCCAGCCTAGTTCCTCACCAGTAAAACAAGATTCAACCAGGAAATTATTTTCAAATAGGTTTGGACCTTATAAGTCTTTGTTCAGATAAATCTTATAAGGAATCCCCAAGATATAAAACACCTAAAAACTGAACTCCTCTCTTGGAAGCACAGTTGGGACAGCAAGGTCCCCTACAAATCTTCATCTCTTTGATTACACACATGGTGATCCGTTAAGAAGCTCTGGAGAGTTTGCAAGTCCCTGGACTAGATTATCCTGAAGCTTCAGTCCAGTTCTGAAAAATCCAAAATTTACAACCATTTTTGTATCCTTGTCCTTACTGGCTAGATCACTTCTTGACTCTACTACTCAGATGTTTAATGAAATAGGGACTGAGTTCCACATGAGGCATTGCTTTCCTGCCACATAGTTGACAAAACTGTTTGGAGAATGAATGGATACACACGTTAAGGTACCAAAACGGAAGTGAGGGGATAGCAGATAATTGTAGAAGAGTAAGATTCTGTGTGGTAAGAAATGAAGTACAAGAATATTAAAAATCATGAAAAAGAGTAAAGAAAAACAAACACACACACACACACACATACACACACAAAAAGATCCACAGAAGATCTATAAAGAAAGACAGGAACCAAAACAAGCGGCAATGAAACATCCTAAGGAAAGTGGAATTCAATCCAACTGAAGAAAACGGGCACTTCAGACCAGAAAAATGAGGGTGTATAATCCTGCCATCGGTTGTTTGGAAAAGAGAGACACTTGCGCAGGGAGGTGTTCTACAAAGGAGAGAAAGAGGGTGTGGGAGCCCTAAAAAATAATGTTCCTAGCTACCCTTTACTGCTGTCTCTACAGGGAAGAGAGGAGAAACTAGAGGAGAAAATGAGCACAGGAAAAATTGCCTCTGCAGAGCAGGTAAGAGGAGGTTGTTCAGATTTATGGATTTTATTAAGCCAGTTTTCTGAATCACTCTGCTATAAAGGAAAATAGCTTCTGCCAGACTGTCTCCCCTCCTTCAGGTGAGGAACAAAGGGTGGGTGGGGTTAGGGACAGACCCTAGTCTGCTGAACATGGTGCATCTGCAGCTCCAGAAGTACTGCAGGTGTTTCTGGGTATTGTGACACATCACGTTTATATCACAAATGGGAATTGAAAATCAGTCCATGTGAGGCAGAGATGAGCCCACATCTGTTATCCTCCCCAGCAAAAAATAAATAGCCCAGACAGATGAATACCAGTCCATCTAGAACAAAATTTTAAAGCATGTGCTTTATGATAAAACCGAACCCAGGGTCTGATGGAGACTGCAGGCAGTTACAAGCTCTGTAACTACCCTGATCGTTGATGCTGCATATTGATAAGGGGAACATAATTTATAGCACAAACCCTACGGCTTCCACTAAGGTTGAGTTTTCCTCTCATTTTCTTGCCTTTTTATTGGCTTCACTGCACGGTTGCCAATAGCAACATCCACTGGTAGCAAGGAGAGTTCAACACCATTGCAATCTGCCATACAGTGGAGCCCTCACAATGTCAACCATCAATCAAGTAGCTGTTTGTAATTGCCTCCATCTATTTCTCCTGTCTCAAGGTATCTTTCCTATTGTGGGTCAAAACTCAGAAACTGCTGACTAATGCCATGGGTCTGCTCCTCCACGACCATGAAACAGCCTTCCTGGTACTAACAATGCTGGGCGTTAGAGGTTGAACTCTTGGGAGGTTGAGGTATTTTTAATCCCTTATCTAAATTGTCTATAAATTTTCTAAGAATGTGAAGTATGTGTGCTTGCTCATACATTCTTTCTTCGTTCCCAAAACAGTGAAAGAAAAGTGTTCCCATTCCTAATTATTACTGTTTATTTCCTATTGGAGGATGACATTTGAAGCATGAAGCTTCTAATTAAACAACTGCAAACAAACCAGGTTCTGTGTGTTCCCTCAGATCTCTTGGCATTAAAGGTTGAACTGATGTCATCCTACTTTCTCTATGAGATGCATTCTTTTCAAATATGATATTTATTCTTACTAGTCTGTGTATAGATAGTACATGGAGCCCTGGCGCTGTAAGATAAGCACTGCTAACCACAAGGTCAGTGGTTCAAACCCACCAGCTGCTCCTTGGAAATCCTGTACTGGGTCACCATGAGCCGGAACTGATTCAACGGCACAACAAGATAGTACACACATAACCTACAAGGTAACCTACAAGGTAGCTGTCAATCCCCAGCTAGTTGGGACAACCTGGCACCCTGTCCAGGAAACCATCCTGTGAATGCACAGGAGACCAGCACTCCATCCTGGCTTTATCACCAACTGGACCTGTTATCTTGGCATTCTCCAGGTCTCGGATTTCTCATCTGTTAAATAAGAGCATTGACTTTTATTCACTTCTGTTCCATACTAAACCACCAACCTGTATTAGCTTGTCAAAATTGTCCCGATTTTTTTTATTTACTCTTTTTGAATAAAATAATCGTAAACATTAAGGAGCCACATTCTCATTGAAGACAAAATTAGAAGTTACATATATGGGGTGCATATAAAAACAGCCTTACTACAGATATGTCTGAATCTGCCTCTAGTGATTGTTAAGGATGTGGTCATTAATACAAAAAATTTAAAAATATGTCCTTTTATTTCATAAATGATCATTTAAAATAGACCCATAGCATAGTTATTCCATAAGTAGTAGTCCGTACAAGTAAATTGATAAAGTGACTCAGTGGTAGTTAAGGCTATTCTACATGTGTGTTTTCTCTGTTTCTGAAATCTGAGATGTCTGTACATTTCCAGGTTATTTTATATATGTAAACATGTTGGGTTATAAATAACCTTTAAACATTTATTAATGTAATAAGAATATTATCTAGTATTAATGTCACAGAATTCAGTTGTGTGCGTGTTTCTTTTTCTTGTAAATAAGTTTACCATTTATCCACTTAGTTTAGGTTATTAAACAGAGTATGCTCAATTTACATTGTGATACAAATATTTTTAAATCAATTTCTCTACTGACTCTTATGAATTGCCGAAAGATAAACCATTTCATCCA